CCCTCACTCGCTTCTTCTCATTTAATCTAGGGTTCCTCCGATGTCTCCGGAACTTTCTCAAGTCTCAGATCCAATTTTTCTATTGTTTTTCTTGTTACTCTTTGTTTGTTAATATTCCGAGATTGGCTAAAAGATACTGTTCTCGTACGACTCCAATGGCCCAATGTTGACCCAACACAGACACAACAAAGTTACTTCATTTCTTGTCTATTATTGTCCTGTCCTTGTACGAATTTACTAAAAGTTCTACGTTTGCGATTTGCAGTAACGAATCAGATACAGATTACAACAGTTCTTTGCCCAAAGTGAGGTACAAAAGAGTGAAGAAACTTCACTGTTTCAAAAAGTGACCACAAAAAAAAGTTGTATAGGATTTTCGACATCAGTTGATTTTGGGCTTAGGAGCTCTTGGCCTAAAGACAGCGTAAAGAAGAATCAGGACTATGACCATGGCAGGAATTGTGGTCATGTCAACTTCCACTTTCACTTTCCTCTCTTTTGTGCAGTGAATTGGATGCAAAACCCCCACTGTTGCATTCACTTCTCTTACGAACCTGATATATAGATGATTGATTAGCAAAAATACCATTCCTTTAAAACTGTAGCGGTAACTGCAAAAGGTGTACTGACCCGCTTGTGGCTTCCTCTAAGGTATACAGAAATCTCATGGCATCACTATAACGTGTTTCTCCCGCAATAGTCGAAAGCTGTTAACAGATAATATACACATCATTTGAAGCCTTCCAGCAACTCAAAGGTATTTTTTATGACCCAAGAAAACAAACTAAAGGAACCAGGGTCTACTCACTCGTCTCCACATGCTAATCACATACTTGTACTTGTTCATCAGCTCACGTTCCTTTGACTGGAAAAGCTTAAACGATTTTTCATCTAGTTTCTGAGTCAAGGATATGAACACTAGCATAAGACAAGCAGTCAATAAAACTTCCTACTCTTCTGCATGGCATAAGATATATATAAAAAAAAATATCCCAAGGATACTTGTTCGCTCCAGCCGTAGATGATGAATCCCTGAGTTGACTGCTTGTACTGATTCTTCAAGAGCCGTAATAATATAGCTCCGTGCAATTGTGTCAGATTGAAACTGTGAAAGCTGCCAACCTTGAGAAGTTATGGAAAAGGGATTGCAACCCACTGACCATGTCCAGTCCTGTGAAACACAATCTTTTTAAAGATACTAAAACTGAAGATTATAATCAGTGCTTGTGTTGGGTTCACAAGATAGCAGAAGTTACCAGCAACAGTAGAATATTTATGGAGCTATAAAACAATGCTATTTAGTATAATCTGCAAGCATAGCTCCATACCTCAATTGCACTTTCATGAGCTACACTGTAGACAAGATGAAGAGGAAGCAATCCGGCTAGATGTTCAGCAACAGAAGCCATGGCCGCTTTCAAAGGGATCCTAATTTATAAACATGGAGGAAAAACGAAAAAAATCATCTACTCTAACTCGCTCATGACGCGCAAACTTTATATAGGGTGTCTCATTAAAACTTTGCTAATAAAAAGCTGCTAAAATGTATGTTGTTAAACCTTAGATCCCATAAAAGTGATCGCCCGTTGCATTGCAAATGGCTCTCCCATGAAGATGCCTCTGACTGAACAACAACGACCATATTTGAAAGCGCCTTAGCTTGATAATGCTTGTCAATCAGCAGCGGATCCCCATTGATGAGCCAAAAGATAGGAATTTCAAGAGTAGACCTGCTGTGGGCATGACCTCCTGAGTTATATACAAGGATAGCTAAGAGTGTCAATGCCGATCACGATGTATCAACATCAACCAATGCATGAGATCCACTAACAATTAAGTATAAGTTTTTTGCATAGAACGCGAGTAAAGAGACCTGAAATGAAATTGAATGAGCAATAGGAAAAGAGCAATCTTCAAATGAATCAAGTTAAAAAAGAAGACAGCAGTAAAAAAAAAAAGATATCACAAATGTAAGGAAAATAATACAGTAGCTCAGATTTTATAGAGTTTTCTCACTACGGAGTGCTACCCTAGGACGAAAACTTGAAATACATATGTAAAACGGAGAACAGTCCTCAAAAGTTCTCACCAGTATTCAGTATTCATCTACAGAGATGTGTAATCCATAGTGTAGACATCAATATACAGATTTAAACAGACAAGAAGAAAACCAAATCACTTTATACTGGCAGCAAAAAGTTTCTAGTTTAGCATCAAGGAAAGGCTTACAACTACAAAGGTGCCTCAAGTAAAAAACAGGGATTAATGGTAACAATTTCAAAATTACATATAACAGACAGAACATTTATGTAGTTAACTGACCTTTAAGGGAAGTGTGATCCTGTAGCCTCTGTAATTGGTACTGGAGGATTGATGAATCGAGATATGAACGAACAGTCTTCCGGTAAGTACCATTGACAAGCAATAGAGGGACAGCTGCTGCCCTTCGGGCTACCGAAAAAGCCATAGCCAAGGCAGGGTCCTCAGAGAGTGTTAACCTATCATAATTATTATTGACACTTCAATAGAGCTCTAAGTTGCATAGAGAAATCGAAAAGAAAAAAAAAACACCTAACAATATATATACATTTCTCAGTTTTGGTCCCAGGGACAATCTACCACAGCTCGAATGAGGTAGAGTTTATCAAAGAGGTTCTGAAAGATGAAACTAATAAGTTACACAGGCCTAATAAGTTTGTCAAAGAGGTTCAGAAAAATCAGGCCTAATAAGTTACACAGGCAGTTGTAAAGTTTTAGTTTGAGGACTAGAAGCATTTAAGTGCATACATATGCTGGCTGAACATAGGCTTCTGAGAAGGTAACAACAGTGAAGAAAGTCCATCCATGAGGGCCTTGAGATCCACCGGCAGCTGTTTGATTTGTCGAACTTTCTACATCAAGAAAATTACAGAGTGACGACCTCTTATAAAAACTAGACTGAAAAGATTCAGCCCATGTTACTGGTATGATGAATTGAATATACTTAGTAGCAATAGTATTTAACTCTCAAAACATAAGTAAATAACATTTGGGAAGAAAATAACAAAATGAATTCCATGATTTTACGTTTTGTTCATGTCTTTGTCCTTGTAACTTTAAAATATAAAATCATTCAACGTTTTTCACCAAAATATGCTTGACCTGATGGGAAATCCTTTGAACCATTTGACATGAACATACCTCTTGTGTGATGAAAACAAGCTGAAAAGAGATCTTCTCATAATGATGAAATGCACCATCAGCAACCGAAGGTGATATTATATGTCTCATGGATCCCCAGAGAGTGGCGCCTAAATGTGCAAGGAAAGTATCTCGTGCAACTGTGTAATTTTGAAACTCCTGTGCATTGGATATCACGATGCAATGTAGCGTCATATTTTCTTATATAAAACCGAAGCATTATGATTCCAATCTCCTTACTGAGAGAATCCTCAAACCAGCAAGGGAGATAGCAGCAGAAGACAAAAAACCAAGCATGGGACCAAGAAAATACCTCATGTTCATCGCTAAACAAATTCCAGCTCTCCATTCGTTTTAGTGCATCCGTGGCTTTTTTCTTGTGAACCTCATCATATTGATCTCCTTCAAATGACTGGAGCTCAGTTTTTAAATCCCTCATTCTCTCATCAAGTTCTTGGACACGGAAAGTGAAGACAAAATGAGAAACAGGCACACAAACAAAATAAGAAAATGATGTGGGAGCTGTATGGAGACCTTCTTTGAAACCAAGGAAAAGAAAATAAGAAGGGGGGACATGAAAATTAAGACTCATAAAGCAGCGTTAAATAATAGAAGCACCTTCACAAAGAGCAAGCTTCACCTTCCTTCCCTTGCAGTGCTTGAAAGCGAATAGTTCATATACATCAATCTCAGCTAGAAGAATGTCAACAGCCTGATGGTCTTTCTGAGACAACAAGAACAATATTGAGAAGTCTTGGCCAAGAGCTTTTCAAACAAGGAAAATGAAAACACAACTCAAAGACATTGAATTCTGTAGAGCTGCACACGTGCATTTATCCCACATGCAGAAGTCTCAACGAAAATACAGCTCTAAGAAACATTCACCTCCAAAGGACATGAAACAGAACATAGAGAACCAATATTTCGTGGAGCTTGGTCTAAGATAATTCTTTAATATCTAGAACCCCTGAGTCTTATACCCAAACTCTCTCTTACTCTTCTTTGCTTAACACCCTATTTTAAGTTTACCATCTTTGATTTTATGGTAAGTCTTCCTAGTGTATTTTAATCTTCATGTTTCCCCGCTTCTTAAAGTACCAGAAATTTGGTTGTTCTACTCTATTTGTTAGTCCTATTTTTGTTCGTACTGAAGTACAACAGTCCCCAAGATAACTACGGTACTCCTAAGATAAAGCTCCTTTGATGGAATCCAATGGTTTATTATTTCACCAATTAAAACACACCTCTCCAAATACAGAAAATTTCTCCTGAATTGCAGCTTGCAGTTTGTCTTCTGCTTCATCTTCAGATATTTCTAGCAGAAAATAAAACAATGGACATAAAATTAACTGAAATCCAGGAAAAGTTTTGTGCGAATGAAACAAGGCAAAAATGACAGAGAGGTGTCCATATATTACTAGAATTGTATAGCTTCACATAGGACATTAAAAGTTAAGGTAAATAGTCAGGAGGTTTACAACTTAGGAGCCATAATGCAGAATACTTAATGTGACTAGTACCTGCAACTGCACCAATAGTCTTTCCCACATTTGGCAAACTAAGTTCGGTTCGCACTCCTTCCCCACCGACAGAAGGTCCCCATGAAAAAGGGCCAGCGGTTAAATCGATGAACGCCCACCTGAGAGGAGGTGTTCACAAAATCAGGAAACATACAGCTTTGTAAATTTATTGGCATGCATAAGATGCGCTCTAAGCCAGAATGACAAGGTTAAATACATGTACACACATGCAATGAGAGCTTCAGAAAAGCAACCTGCCCTTTCC